AGACAGCAGATCTGACGTGATTACTGGCATATGTCGCACAGCCTGGACTTGAGCATGCCTCCTGAAAGTCGGGGATTTGCCGCACCAATTAGCGTATCGCTCAGATCCCTTATTTCGTGGTATCAAAGTGAGAACAGCTGTAGTACGCAGTTGAGTACAGTTGAGCGCAGTCGAAGTAGTACCGGCTTTGAACGTCGTACGCGCCTGTGTCTTGCGCTCCTCACGCGGCGCAAGACGCAATCCAGCTTCTCCGGGATGACCCAGCCACCCGGCGAGTGGGGTGACACCCGCGAAGCCATACAACCAGCTCTGGGGGTGTAGACAGTGGATCATCCTTTATACACCGTGCGATGTATCATGGCGCAGCGGCGGCGCCACGGATTTTAAGTTGGGGTGGAACGTCCCGGGGAGGCTGCGGCTGAATGAAGCCTCCTGGGCAGTGGCGCATCCAAGGTGGCGCCGGGATGCATGCTCTCTTATAAAGTTGTTACATCACCAGACTAATCTGAGTAAATGTTGACAAGTGAAGGAACACGGACTAGGGCCTCTCTGATTAGTGCAGGGGCTTGAAGACCCAGTTAAAGGCCTCTTCGTCCAAAAATGGAGGCTCCTTTTTCAGAAATAGGCTTTGGATGCATGGAGGGACCGCCTGATTTGGAACAAGATGGTTCGGACTCACAAAGGGGCCTCCAAACCTTACAGATGGCCTCATAACTCCAGAAGGATATCCTGACCTGGAACAGAGACCTTCTGACGCATAAAATGTGCATCTTGTCCCAGAATAGGACGTAAAGCTAGCCACTTATTTGGCGGTTTATTTAGCGATTTATTTAGCAACGGGCTTTGATTTTTGAAAAACGTCAACCAGTGAATAATTGTACGGGAGTACCGAATCTGACGTGTTTTTTTTGTAACATCACATGCTCTTCAAGGTCAAATGCGTGGCCAAAGACAGAAGCTCCACATCACTCCAAAGTTACTAGCCGATTTCAGATTTGTAACCATCATCATATTTACTAATGATGAACTAGCGTCCATCAACAAGTCCTGAAGTATTAAGGTCATTCTTCAAGGTCAGAGATCAGGACTGCTTGACAGACACTAGCCTACGCACTGAAGGCGATCCCGGTTCTAATTCATGCGCATTATTCTGATACAAAAAAATCGAAATCGTAAGGTAACTTTCTGGTGGCGTGGAGCTCCGCGTTCTCTGAGCTGAACTTGGCCTTGGAAGGTGGCCGTGAGATGTCAGGACTTTTTGAAAGACGCCTGTTCATGCGCTGGCGAATATTCTGATTCGGAAAAAGTCAAAATTGGCTGGAAACTTTTGTGTGATATGGAGCTCGCCTTTCCTTGACCTCGACTTGACTTGACGGACGGTCAATGATGTTGCAAAATAGACTGCAGATTTGGTGATCTCGTGTAATTATTGAAAGTAAAATGGGTTTCAGCGAAATCAGAACGCGTCTTTATATTAATAGCTAAATAAATCTAACTTCGCGGATATCAGGATAGGGTCTCCTAATATAAATAAGATGCCTGCTTACCCAAACGGGGCCTCATTATTCAGACAATAAGCCACCTTAGTGATGAAAGGGGTCTCCGAGTCATAAAATAGGCCTTTGATGCAGAGAGCGGTCTTCTGAGCCCGGTTTGCTATGTGTTAGGTCAGTTATGGGGGCTTCCTTTATCCGAATATTTAACTTATGCTTAACTTGTCTTGTTATGTATTAAATATGTTAAATTGTATATATATATAATATATATATAGTGTGTGTGGGTGTGTGTGTGTGTGTGTGGTGTGTGTGTGTGTGTGTGGGTGTTGTGTGTGTGTGGTGTGTGTGTGTGTGTGGTGTGTGTGGGTGTGTGTGTGTGTGTGTGTGGTGTGTGTGTGTGTGTGGTGGTTGTGTGGTGTGTGTGTGTTGTGTGTGGTGGTGTGTGTGTGTGTGTGGTGTGTGTGTGGTGTGTGGTGGTGTGTGTATACACTGCATAAAGGCATGCTTGTCAAACAAAACTTGGGTTAATTAGTTATGGAGCTTTAAGGGCGCCTCAACCGCAATCATCATTTGCGCCAAAAAAACCTGAAGTTTGAGCAAAAGAGCCCTTCCAAATTTTGGGGAAGCGAAAACGTACTCTTGGCTCCCTGCCCCCAACCCCACCCTGCGTCGCCGCTCCTGTCGTGGTGACCTGCATGCAAACCGTGTTTATTTATTTGTGTTGAGGCTGATATGGGAGAGCCGGGACTTTCTGGCCGCTTGGCTGTGCGCCCCGCTCCCTTCCGACGTTGGGGACAGGGTCATCCCTGAGCTGGTAAGCGCCGTCGGGGTGCTTGTTCGTCAGACTGCGTCTCATGTAGGATAGTGGAGCTTTTCTCTTGGTCGCGCCGAGCGTTCCGGTGCCCGTGTTGCCCTAATGCAGGGTGGTGTTGCAGCAGCATTACATCGATTTCCGTTATCACCATGGATACCAGACGAGATTGACCGCAGAACACTGCCTCGAACGGCGTGTACTTTGTGATTCCACGTTGGGGGACACCCGAACGGCTGGGTGCCGCCACGCCATTTCTTGCACGTCGTTAATCGCTTGAGCCCGTCCGTCACAGGTCATAAGTATTCCCTCCGTTGTGAGTTTATAAACAGGCGACAAAACCTGTTGACGCTCCATGCTTCAGCCAATGGGACCGAGCGGCACCAAACCTTCGCCATTTGATGCCACTTGGTCGAAAATCGAGCCTTCCTGGAGAACAGCGTTCTTCGGTCGGGCCAAAGGTCACCAAAAATGCCCGAAACAACCACGCGCTCCAAGCTTTTGGAACGGATCAGCATTAAACCCCCACCAGTCGATGTGACGTAGTCGATATAATATCCGTCCCAAAACATGACGGCTTTGGGGCTGGTCAAAGACCATCAAAAACGCTGCTCACCACTGCTTCTTCGCAGGCAACCACATGATCTGAGCCTTTGGGACCGATCGACACGAAACCTGTACCAATCGATGTAGCATGGTCGATAACATGGAGTATGCTCCTTTCGAGAACAAATGGCACTGGGCCAGGTAAAGGTCACCAAAAAACACCCGACACCACCGAAATTTTGTTTGCAGCAACACAAGGTTGGTTGTTTGCAGCAACCCAACTCAACCAACCAGTCACCAACAGCAACGATGTGTCATGGTCGATAGCCTATCATTTCCTCACTGTGGTGACCTTGAGTTAGGTCACAAACAAACACAAACTTGAGTCACAAAAACGCCCAAAACCACAATGAAATAGTGTGCAGAGAACACCATGCTCCGGGCCCATGAGAACGATCAACTCAAAGCCTTTATCGATCGATGGCCCATACTCGATAACGTAACCTTTCCAGAACGTGGTCACCTTGAGTTAGGTCAAAGGTTACCAAAAGCGTGAAAGGAAATAAATAAGTCTGCAGACAACCTGATGCGTTGGGCCTATCGTAGCAATAGAAACAAAACCTTTGCAATCGATGTGCAATAGCCGATTACATTTCCTTATCAGAAAATGGTGATGTTGTGTCGGCACAAAAGGTCACCAAAAATAAAAAACACCAAAATGGAGTACTGGTAACCAATCGGCACAAAACGTTTACCAACCGGTACGCCATCATGACGTCTGGAGCAAACAGGCGCCATTAAAGCCCACAGACTGTCGGCTGGCTCGGCTAGGTCCTGTCATGAGAGGAATGCTCAAACTTGGCTTCGAGATTGGGACAAGCTTGAACTCCTTGACTTAAACTGGTGAGAAGTCTGGCGGCGGACTCGTGAGACTCGTGAGGGCCGCCTGCGTGAGAAGGCTCCCGAGAGCCTGGCTCAGTTGCGTGTGAGAGCGCGCACTCGTTAACACCACGGCGTGTGGTATTGTTTATCGATACTTCTGCAATCACGCGCTGCGTCTGGCCAGCCGGTGGTGATCGGCTATTGACGCCGCGCGGGCCGAGTGAAGTCGGCGCTGTGCAGCGTTACTCCGACACAGGGTCTCGATGCCGGTGAATTCAACCCAGTTAACTAGGCAGTGTGTGATAGGACCACAGAATTTTCCCGCGTGTGTTAGGTGTGGCCTGTGGTGCACGCCGAAGGGACTACCGACTAGTTTGAATGTGTACTGCACCGGACATGCTATTAGCATGCATAATGCAGGCCTCAACCACGCTGTCAACCGTTGGCATTGGTTACCTGAACGGTGCGCAATTTTGGCTGATTCATCGGCCTTCCGCGTTGACGGATGCTTGTCATACTAGTCATTCTTGCCGGACACGTGACAGCGTAGCGGCCGGCGCCGCCCACACACCTTTTGCCCGCGGCGAAGTGTTCTGCGGTGTCGTGGGTGCTGCGGTACAGCTCTGATGAGTGTCGTGCGGCGGGGCGGCGTTCTTCCGGCCTGCTGCGCCGGGTCGGCTAGCTGTCGCCGGGCCGACCTCAGCGCGGCGGGTCGGCGCCCCTCCGGCCTGCTGCGCCCGTCGGCTAGCTGACGCCGGGCCGGCTTCAGTGCGGCGCGGCCAGTTGGGGTCGGTCGGCGCCCAGAGGGGGATGGAAGGGGGGGGGGGGCAGCGCTCCTGCGGTCGGCTGACATCCCGCCTGCGGTTAGCGCGCGGATTGCGCAGGAAATAGACGGCGCCCGCGAGCAGTGGACCCTGCGTTGATCGAAGCAAAGAATAGCAGTCGTTTGTTCTGATTGTGCCAACAGTGCCAAGCTAATCGTGAAGGCATCGTCTGAAGCGCAGTGCAGCCCTCTCCCTCCCAAGACCTGTCGGCGTAACGCATGGGAGGTGACGACAACTTTACTGGAGGGGGGAGTGGGCGGAATCAAACTCGTCGTGGGCGCATGCAAGGAAAGTGCGCACCTCCAGCGCCGGAATGTTGAGGACGGCAACGTCACAGCCGGCGCGTTCGGCGATTGGTTGGAGGGTGTGATGACGTTTGACCTTCGTGCCGTTCCAATTGGTTGGACAAGGTGATTGCTTAGACGGGTCCAGACGGCGTGCTGCGCGGCGGGGGCGGAAGCACAGTGTGGCTGTGCGTGGCGTAGCGGTGGTGGTGAGCAGCGTAGACCGTGAGGGCGCGGCTAGGCTCTGCCTGGGGCCGTCTCTGTGTAGGTCCAGGTGACACCGGTCGCGGCTCCCGTTCCCCGATAGGCTGACCAGGGGCCGCGTTAATGGCCGGCCCGCGCGGCCAGGCCCTCAAATGCCAGGCAGAGGACCCTTTGCGCTGAATGACTCGACTCGTCTCCGGACTCGATGAGGGCACCTATGCCCTCCATACACCATCAGTACCGACCAGTCGGTTCCGTGTCAGTCCAAACCCGAGGTCCATTTTCCAAGGAGGGGCAAGGTTGGAGTCCACGATTTTCGCCGGTCGGGGCCCGTAAGTTAAAAATGCCCCCCCCCGCGCGTCGGTCAGGGGCCCGACACTGCTTAACAGAGTCCTGTGTTGACAAAGAGGTCTGACAGTCAAGGGTGGTGTGTTCGAGGAAACCCGAAGACTGACCAATAATTTTATTTGAAGACTAAAGGATGCGAAGGACCGGCTGTAGGTCACATTAAGTCAGTCAATTGTCGGTCATAGAGCCTGTTGCACCGATTGAGAACCCCTTGGACAATGCGGGCCTCTATTTCGGTCATAGGCCACCAACACCGAACAGTCAGTTCCGTGTTAATCTGAGCTCGGGGTATCCATTCCCCAAGCAGGAACAAGGCCGGCAGTCGCTCTTCGCATTGGTCGCGGTCCCTGAAACAATGAAGGGTCCCCAGTGCCCAAGTGTTGGTCAGGGCCCGCAGTGCCTAACAGAGGGCAATGTGCCGGCAGTTGGTTCCGGGTCGGCCAGGGGCCGTGTTTCCGGTAGCGGCGAAGGGCACAGGACCAAGGATCAAAGACCCAAGTAAAAAGCTGAAGGGCCGGAAGAGAATATTGTGTGTCGCAGTAAGGGCCTCTGCCCGTGACGCTGTGGGCTTATGTCAGTCAGAGTGCCTTTTACGCTGATTGGGGATCCCTTGAACAGCGGGGGCTCTTGACGATTTTAGTCGACGGTCCGTCAAGCCTAGCTGTTGTCTGTGCATATTTTTACCATCTACAGCGATAATGGATTCACTAAGGGCCTCCGAATCGACCAGGGGCCCGCCCCTGTGTCCCCGGTATGGCAGCCGGAATGCACCCCGCGCTGGGATAGAATGGCCCCTCAGCCGAAGTCTGTAAAAATGGATTTTTGACGTTCAAAGATAAGATCGTGATGAATATTTCACCTTCATAATTTCGCGTTGCTGTAACCGCTAACCTGTTCAGAGGAACAGATTAACAGTTACAGTATCTCGAAGACATAAAGACTCTACTTTTATTTTTCCAGTTCTACCACTACGTTCCAGCACCAGCTCGCGGTGTTGTAAATGTTTATCCGCTCATCCTACCCATGTAAAAATGGTGCCGATAGAAAATACGTCTCGATTTCTTTCTAAACATGCTATTAAAGTCGTTAAGTGTCCAAAGGCGCTTACCCCAGATGCGTCACCGTTCTATTTTGTCCGTTGGCCGGCGCCTAATGTTAGCTACAGGAGTGACGCTGCGCTGCCTATGAAAAATGCAACGCCTGGTGTCATTTTTGTGAAAAATTATGGCAAAGCCTCTGGGTCTTTTGGGTTTAGCAAGAGTCTATACTGAGTCATTGCAAAATAAGAAGCGCCGGCGGATTCTTCCATGCCACCATTTAGTGCCCACTTCCTTCAGTTTATTGGCTTCAGAACGCAAACGAACTTCCCTCTCTTGGTAGCTCCCAGCTTTCATTTCAGTAAAGACTGGTTTTAGAATAATGAACGAATGAAAAAGCACCCCCTTGAAATCAAGAGAGCCATATCCCGTGAGTTATTTATCTTGGGGGGGATCTCGCCATCAGGGCCCTTTGTCAACCCTTTGCTCCCCACCCACCAAGGCTCCGGCAGGGCCCCTGATCGCCGTCCTCGCTCGCTCACTGCAGGGAGCGCCGCTTCGCTTGAAGAGAGAGTCGCTGCGGCTGGTAACTGCTGTGAGGTCTCCCTGCGCGTGCTGACCGCCGACGCCGAACCATGCCGTGGAAGCCGATGTATCGCTCGGACGTGCGCCTAGAAGGCAAGACGGTCGTCATTACGGGCGCCAACACTGGCATCGGCAAGGAGGCGGCGCGCGACCTGTACGGCCGTGGCGCGCGCGTCATCATGGCCGTGCGGACGGTGTCGCGAGGCGAGGCGGCGCGCGAGGAGATAGAGGCGGCGGCCGAGACCGGCGCCGGCCAGCTGGAGGTACGCCAGCTCGACCTCGAGTCGCTGGAGTCGGTGCGCCGCTGCGCCGAAGAACTGAATGCGGCTGTGGAGAAGATCGACCTGCTGATTCTGAACGCCGGCAAGATGGCCTGCCCGCGCTCCGAGACCAAGGACGGCTTCGAGAGCCAGCTGGGCACCAACCACCTGGGCCACTTCTTGCTGACGCACCTGCTACTTGACAAGGTGAAGGCGGCCGCGCCTTCACGCATCATCGTGCTCAGCTCGCTGTTCCACAAGATGGGCAGCATGCACTTCGACGACCTGCAGCTGAAGAACAACTACGGCCCCTGGAAAGCCTACAATCAGAGCAAGCTGGCCAATGTGCTGTTCGCCAGCGAGCTGGCACGCAGGCTGAAGGACAGCGGTGTCACCACGTACGCCGTGCACCCGGGCTGGGTGCGTACCGAGCTGGCCCGCCACCTCTCCGTCTGGACCAAGGCGGTGCAGGCGCCTGTGCAGTTTCTCGCCAAGTCGCCGTTGCAGGGCGTGCAGACGACGCTGTACTGCGCGCTGGAGCCGACGCTGTCGGCCGAGTCGGGCCAGTACTACGCCGACTGCCGGCGCACGGCGCCCTCCAGTCGGGCGCAGAGCGTGGAGGACGCGCGCCGCCTCTGGGAGGTCAGCGAGCAGCTGGTCGGTCTGAATCGCTGACAGGGGCTGAGCCGGGCGGTGGAGCACGGCAACGGCTGCTCCTCCGCCTCGGGCCCGCTGCCTGAGGTGCAGTGACGGCTGTCCTCGGCTCCTCGTGCGGCCCGCAGTGACGGCTGTCCTCGGCTCCCTGTGCGGCCCGCAGTGACAGCTGTCCTCGGCTCCCCGTGCGGCCCGCAGTGACGACTGTCCTCAGCTCCCTGTGCGGCCCGCAGTGACGGCGGCGCCGAGAGCGCCGTCCGTGACGTAATTGCCGCTGTGACTGCTGAGATGAGGAGCGCGGCCAGGGCCGTCACTGCTTGAACTTTGGTGGCGGCGGACCGTGGGGCCGGTCCAGAGCCATGCTCTGCTGCAGAGGCCCCCGTGGCTGATGAGCCGCAGCCGTGGACACTGGCTTGGATTGAGTACGTGACCGAGGTGTGCGGGAGAGGGGGTGTCACGTGCTGCCTCTAAAGTTGTGTTGTGCCGCTGACTGCCGTCTGCCGAATGGAGAATGGCACGTGAGTGACACGCGGCTGTCGGCTTGCCGCAGACCGGTATTGGCCGGTGGATGAACTGGCCAAAGGGAATCGATGTCGTCTGTCTGATTTATACTCAAACATGCTCGGGTAGTCACGCCTACTTAACCTCGGCGCTTTCTCTATATCTGCTGCAAATGTTGCCTTGTGAAAGTGTCCAGTTTCTGATCATCAGTTCTGAGAATAAATGTGTGATGGACTTACTATCAGAGGTGTCTGCAAATTGTATATCATTATGTCGTGCCCAATTCGGCAGAATTTCCCACATCAAATGTGCTCGCATGTCACATCGATATGCGCGCACGTGGTATGTGCAGCATTGATACAGCCGTTTTGTTGACGAATTTGTAAATACAAATGGACACCCTCGTTCCCGGTTCTTGGGCCCGGAAGTCTTTGCAACAAAATCGGAGCATCGTTCATTTCTAGGGTTGTTCACCCACACTTCAGCATTGAGGTGTACAGCTTATTGAGATAATAAGCTTAATGTCCTCTGGTCATATAGGCCATCTCTCCATGTGCCGGACATATTTGTGCTGTAACTTCCTCGCCGTTAATTTTGCGTCGCACAGCGTGGTTTTGTCATTGGAAACAAACCAGCCAAGCGCAAAATAAACACCGACTCATGATGAGTCGGCGTTTCCACGTCGAGAAACACTTTGGGAGGTGCCGGATGCCACTTCATTTAAAGTGGCAAACCATCGTCGACGGCCAGCAGCCGACAGACCACCGCATGTGTAGGCGTTTATGAGGCCCTGCTCGCCACGGCCACGTGTTGGTAGGCCGTGACTCAGCAGGATCTGCGCGTGCAAGGTCATCGTGCCTCCGCGGAGTCGCCGACGGCGAGGTGCAGCTCCAGCAGCCGCTCGTCATCCCTCAGTCTCCTTGCCATGCGGGTGGCGAGGGGTGCTGTGAGGCCACGGTTCCAATGAGGTCTCGAGGTTAGACGGCGATCGAGACGTTCGTGAAGGCATGTACGCATTCATGCGCTAAACGGTGGGCAGTTGTGAATCGTTGAGGATGTGGGATGAGCGAAGGGATATCATCTGGGGGTGACGAGGGGTGTGATCGGGAGTTGAAGAGAGGCATCGGAGGATAATGGCTGTCGTCACATGAAGGCAGTGGAAACAGCATTTAGTGTTAGGGCAAAGGCATTTGATTTGCTTAGTGCTTTGCACTATTAACAAATCAAACAGACGTTAAGTGTCGCAGTTGTATTGCAAGGATAGTGTCTGCGTTGCAGCTGAGATCGAACCGCTTCCACTCTGTGTTTTACTCCACCAGCTGGAGCAACACGCATAACTAGGAATGATTAACAACGTCTCCAGTGATTATGGTCAGGCTTGGCGGTGTGGCCGTAGCACAATCATCTAGTGATTACTGAGCATGGAGCGTGACCACACCGGTGTCTTCCGAGACTATAGGAGTGGCGGAAACACGAACTTGGCATGTTTTGTCGTGAAAGCATGCTTTGAGCGATGTCCAGTCGTGGATTGAATGCGCTGGCGAGTCTTCTCGCAATGAACCGTTTTATGACGCCGATAACTTTCTCGCCAGGTATCACTGGTGGACGACGAGGATCTGATACAGGTTCTGCAGTACACCAAGACTACTGCTCAGGAGGTGCACGAGAAACTGCTTATCGCTGCCGAGATGGAGAAGAAAATCAACAAAGGTGCAGTGGTTTGGCCTGTCTGTAAAGTGGCACGCCGCCACACTGGTCAACATGAAGTGAATAAATATCAGGCTCACTTGTGAGAATGCGCAATGCGACAAAGTCAAGCTTTGTTATGCTGTGGTTTGCCCACTGCTTGATGTGTTCTTTGAATCGGTACCTCTTGGTGTACTGAAAGCCTGTTACTTTCAACGCACGAGCTCGAAATTCGTGCAAAGAGAAGCTCAAGTTCGAGATTGAGTTTGAGTCCTGGTGATCCGCATTGCCGTCTCTTGACCACACTGAGTAGAAATAAGAAGACAGGATAAGCTCATTTATACCATAAATTTTCCTCAGTTTGCTGATCGACCGGACGTCCACGCTGTTTTCCTGTGGCGCCGTTTTATCCTGTGTCCTCGCGTCGCATTGGTCTCAGCAGCAGTCAGCCGCCGCCACCAGTCACGAGTCGACCCGGTGGCTGCGCGGACTGGCAGTGTCAACCGAGCGCGCCCGCCAGCCTCGGTGTCACCCCCATGCGCGGAAGAGGCTGACAACGGTGATAACACAGGACAGCCGCGGCTCGGGCCCAACTGTTACCGCCCTCTCCCTAATCCTCTAGTCCTGAAGTGGTTGGTCATGGTCGAAAGATCTCTTACCCAGCCACACCAGCAAGACATCGGGAGTGGCCGCTGGTCTGACCATCATCTGCTGACGGCGCTGCTCTGTACCGGTCGCAGCACCCGCAGGCCCCCCTGCCCAGCCCCTTGCGCCATGACTGGCTGTGATTGGGCCGCGCTGCCAGCCACGTTACGTGCCGTCGCCCGTGTTGCAGCTCGGGATGAGTTTCGCCCGGTGGCCGCTAGGGGCTCGATCCTCTACTTCCTGATCACGGACATGAGCGAGGTGAACGTCATGTACCAGACGTCGCTCAAGCAGTTCCTCGGCCTGTTCGACCAGTCGATGCAGAAGTAAGCGGTGCTGCTGCTGGCTGGTTCAGCGACCTCGGTTTGACCTCGGTTTGACCTCGGTGACGGCGGTTTGGCTGGGACAAACACCGGGTCATGTAGCCGCACCTTCGCCAGCCGCAGACCGATGTTCGGCCCGGGGCAGCACATTGTTCCGGTGTGGTTATACGACTCATGGGGTACATGATGCATGCATATTTTTGTACATGAATGGATAAGATCGCTCCGTAGTTCCGTCTGGGTGAAGAGCTGTTGGCTGAAGCATCCTTTCAGTTGAAAAGAAGAGTGAGTTCAGCGTGAACTAACCGGAAAATATTTCGTCCAAACGGTTCAGAAAAGCTTTCGCTTAGGCGATCGTATGTCCCTCCCTATGCTGGCACAGAATGATTCCTACGGAAGATGTCTTTGAGTTCGGCCTCCACAAATCTAGTCTGGCCTGGCT